CCATAGTGATGAACTTTGATGTCGAACCTCGCTACGTGGTGAACCTCGTCTTTTGATGTCGAGCTTCGCTGCATGGCAAACCTCATATTTTTTTTATGTTGAGCCTCGCTGCATGGCGAACCTCGTATGCGAAGCTATCAGGCCAGCTTCAATCAGTTCAGGCGAGCTAAGTTGTCAGGCGAACTTAGCATTACAGGCGAACTTTAATGTTCAGGCGAAGTCCAGTCTTGTACGCGGACTTCAAAACATGCTGCGAAGAACGGGACATAACTTTCAAACCGTAAGTCAGAATTAGACGAATTATATATGAAAATCGACTATCTTGACGAGACGAAGCCGACCAAACCGACCCTAAAGGGTTCAGTTTGCTCCTATCTGTTTCGTCAAATTCCTTACGGTTTAAGAGATATTAACGTTTTTTATCAGTTTTGAGCTTCTTTGCTAGGAATTAAAGTAATTTTTATTGCCTACAATTACCCCCACATACCCATTGTTTTCAAAACCACCATTCTCCATCTCTATCTATAATATATCCGCATATCCAAATTAAGTTGCTAGGGTTTCCCTCTCACCAACTACATCATTGATCAACTCTCTTTTTTTCCTTTGTACTTAAATTGTATAATATTCATTATGATGAGGACTCACTTGGGTCATCTGCCTGCCTTTAACGCACAATTAAAAAAATATTCATTGTGATTAAGGATTCAGTGAATTTTAACCATTTGTTAATTTTGAGGGTTTTCCGAAACGGCAAAAAAACTTAAAAAAATACTCTTAGCATTCTAAAATTATAAATGACACCCAAAAATTAATAAATTACAACCAAAAAGTACAAACAACCTTTAAAATTTAAAAATTACAATCAACTCCCTGAAAATTCAAAAAAATTAAAAAAATTCAAACAAACACTTGAAAAATATAAAAATTACCAAAAAAAACTCCATAAAAAATAAAAATTTTATAAATAACACTCTAAAAATTTAAATTTGCAAAGAGCTCCCTACAAATCTAAAAATAGTAAACATGCCCTTTAAATTAGAAAATTAAAAAGAAACCTCAACAAAATTAAAAAACCCAAAAAAAAGTACAAATAACCCTAAAATCTGAAATTAGAAACAAACTCCTTTAAAATCTAAAAATAACAATCAACTTCTTGAAAAACTTCAATAATTTTAACAATCTTTAAAAATATTTAAAATTTATAAACATATAGTATTGGGGTTTTTTGCCAAAAACTATTGGGATTAACTAAAAAACATAAAAGTTATTGGCCTATTGGGTTGTATTTTGGTCATTTGACTATACATGAACTAATGATGTTAATTTTGAGGTTTCTGCCAAATGTTATTGGGGGTTTAGTGAGAGTTTTAAAGATATTTGGGATTTAGTTCCTAACACCAAACTCATTCGATGTTTAATAAAATTTACGCCTTTTTTAATTTTGGATTTTTTAATATGTACCTCCTAAATTGTATGTATTTTTAAATGTCTCCGCAAATCATAAGAATCGTAAATTTGCCTATAAAATCATTTTATAAAAAAATTCCCGCTAAATCCATCGCTTTTAGTGGGGTTTCCTAACAAAGTTTTAAAGTGAAAGGGTTTTTAATAACCTCTAAATTTTAGGGAGTTTCCTTATATTTTTAAAGTTATAAAGATTATCTAATTATCATTGAATGTTAAGGAGAGTTCTATAAAATTTAGTCTTTAAAATAGTATACTATGTTCACATAGTTATCTGCACTAAATATGTGATATATCGTGTGCTTAATAATTTATCATATACGCAACATTTTACTATAAGCATCCAACTAAGTGGATTTTTTTTATGACTGGAAAATGGTAGTTTAGCAAGTAAAAAGTTGGATATGTAGGCATTTGAAATGTTCAATATGTATATTAATTAGAAAGAATAATTTTTGTAAAATTACTCAAATAAGGACTCTTAACTTACAACTAAATTCTAATTTAATACATTCTATTTTAACCATTTTATCTTTCCAATATTATACTTTGTAGACACATTTTTTTTAAGTTCTTCCCAATGTTTTGATTATGAGATGCTCATTAGGCATCATTTCAAAATATTTAGGATCTTTACCAATTACAAGCTTTTGAGATGCTCAATAGGTATTTAATTAAAAACAATTTGGTGAGTACAATTAGTCAAATAGGTATTGTTTAAGTTTTTATTAGGTTTTGATTATGAGATGTTCAATATATATAATTTCAAAAGATCTAGGGTCTTCACCACTTGCAATTATTTTGATAGGTTTGAATTAGAATGACTACATCCCATTAGAATGTCACTATCAATCAGGTATTAAGAAATAAACAAGTCATGCTAGAAGGTATAACTGAGGTAGTTAAGCTAATTTTTTTTTTTTTTTGAATTGCAAGACTAATCAAATGGGATGGAGAATGACACTTAAATAAAGAGGCATCTGATACTCATTAAAAAGATTTAAAGACACAAGTAAATCTCCAATTACATGAAATAGTCAAAGCAGACTATAAAGCAATATTTCACAACCTCAGTTAAATAAGGAAATAGACCAAAAAGAAACAATAATAATATTTAATCACGTGCAATGCACATGCATGCAAACTAGTTTAATTATATGAGTGACTCTGAGGTTTGGGTATTTACACGAATAACCCTGAGATTGCTAACTTATATCATCGTAGCCCAAAATCTAACAACTTATTAACACCATTTGTTTTTTTCGTAACGTGACAACTAACAAGTATGGGAATTCCTAAAATACCCTTTTTACATCCTAGTAACTTGTGGTATAACGTATTGTACCCATGATCTTGGGTCTAAGTATCTACAAAGGCAGCTCTAATTAGTCCTATAAATCATTTTGTTAAGAACTTAGTCCCTCAAATCTTCAGTTATTCCATCAAAATCTTTTGTAGTTACTCATTAGTCTCGCAAATCTTCAATAATTTCATATTAGCCCCTCAATTCTTAAGCAATTTAAAGACATGAGGAGCTAAGATGGGGTTACCAAAGATTTGAGGGACTAATTTTTAAAAACCATTTCAGAAAAAGATTTGTTTTAACAAGATTATTTGCATATACCCTTAAAACTTAGGTATTTGCAAAATACCCCCCAAATTTTGGTATTTGCGAAGCATCCCTCAAATCATCAACTTTGGAAAAAAAATATCCCTAAAATCAATACATCATCAACTTGGTGCTAAAGATTTAAAAATTTTATTGATAATTTTTATGCGATTACAAATTAGCTCATCAAAGTTGATGATTAATTGCTGCGAGGATAATTTTTTCAAAATTGATGATTTAAGGGGTGGTTTTGCAAATATTGAGATTTGGAGGGTATTTTTGCAAATACACATGATTTAATTGGTATATATGCAAATAACCCTTCTTAATAATTCGTTCAGCTTGTTTCAATTGCTAATCTTTGTACGCTCCCCTATATTGCATTTAGGTAACTTGGAATAAATCCTGTCAAATGGTGAGCTAGCAAATTGTATTCACATGAAATGATATTTTTGTCTTTTTCATATTTAAAGTTAAGCTCCCTTAGCGCTTTCACCAGAATGTAATTAATCCTATTCTATATCTTGCCTATTTCAAATTGCCCTCGAGTCAAAACTGCTCGACTAAAGACATGTGATGGACAAAATAAATAATCCTCTTTGTTAAGGAGATTTCATTGGAAGAGATGAGGTGGAGTGAGTGAGGCGGAGTGTAGTGAGAGAAAGTGTAAAATGAATAGAAAATGTAGAAAGAGAGAGAGAGACATTCATCCGATTTGGAGAGATACATGAGAAAAAGATATATTTCTATAAAGACTCTTTTACTCTCATTAAGTTTTCATAATTTTTCAATTATCTTACCTTATCAAAATCATATCTTCCTCTCTGAAAAAGATATTATTGTACTTTGATTAACTCATCATCTTATATCCATCTTGTGCTCCTAAAAAAATGATACATCTCCCTCACTCCCCTTCCAATCAGTCAAGAAGCACAAAGGGTATATCCTTTCTTGCATCATATTGCACCTCAGCCCACTCACCTGACCTCCGTGTA